GCGCGATCTCGGCTCACCGCAACCTCTGCCTCCTGGGTTCCGGCAATTCTCCTGCCTCAACCTCCTGAGTAGCTGGGATTACAGGCACACGCCACCATGTCCAGCTAATGTTTTGTATTTTTAGTAGAGACGGGGTTTCACCATGTTGGCCAGAATGGTCTCGATCTCTTGACCTCGTGATCCACCCGCCTCGGCCTCCCAAAGTGCTGGGATTACAGGCTTGAGCCACCGTGCCCGGCCGATATCTTTTATGTCTCTATGCAAACCTTTTGAACATCTGGAATACAATTACAATCTTTAATCCTTTTGTCGTCTAATTTTAATATCTTTGTGAGTTCTGGGTTTTTCTTGATTTGTTTTTTTCTCATTATTGATCATTTTTTGGCATGCCTGGTAATTTTTTATTAGATATCAGACATTGCAAATTTTATTTTGTTGGTTATTGGAGATTTTTGTAATCCTGTTAATATTTTTGAGCTTTGTTGTGGGACACAGTTAAGTTACTGGGAAACAGTGTGGTCCTTTTGGGTCTTGCCTTGTTATTACATCTTATCAGTTGGCATGTGATTTTACTTTGTTTCATCACTAGTGTTTACTTAGGTCACTTAAGGTGTTTTGTTTTTTGGCTTCTTACTGGAAAGTTATCTTTTTTCTTTTTGTAATTAGCATTTTGTGAGGAGGTACTTTGAAACCATGTAAATAGATTTTCTTTATCAAACACTTAAATTATTCATTTATTGTCAGCTGGATCTCTATTTTATACAATGGATTACATTCCTAAACTGTTATGTGATGTCCTGGATTTGGTCAGTGGAGTCCCTTCACACTGGACATGTGAAGCAAGACACTACTCAAAGAAAAAAAAAACAACACAAGTAAATGATGCTGCCTCCTCAAGTGGATGTGCTTTTTGTCCATCCTAGATGATGCCCTGTGACTGAATCTACTCTTCCCAGCATGGACATCCTTTCTCCCTTTTTGGGATCCAGCGTCCTATGCAAAAGTGTCCACTGCATAGCTACCTTCTTCACTTATTGGCCCCAGACCATTCCCCTTCACCATGTGTATGCCCTTCTCATACTTCTTAGATTCCAACTTTCTGTGCCAGGTTGCTTTCTCATGTGTTCATTTCTTGGACCCACCTTTGGGTTCTGTACTGGTCTGCCTCCCTGTGTGAACTCCTTCCTCTCTTCCACTCAGGTTCCAACAGTGTCTCTTGATGCACATGCTTCTGGGGCTGAACCCTTTTCCAAGCTTCTGCCACCACCTCCCTCTTGTTTAGCTTCCATCTGCAGTGTGTCAGCCTCTAACATACTGCTCTGGGCTGTTGCAAGCCCGCTTTTCAACACCATGGCCCTCGTCTGACATGGACCCCTACCTTTCCTCAGCTCTATTTACTAACTTTGGGCTTAGTTGTTCAAAAGGGAAGAGGAAGTATAAACTTCTGACACCAGGGAGCAAGTTTGTTACTTGGTGCTTTTGCAGGTAGTATGTTCTCACTTATTTTGTTTAATGATTTTATTTTGGATGTCGAGAAGGGAAGGTCACTTAAGCCTTTCCATTATAACTACAAACCACACTTAATAGAGAATTAAGAGCTAGAACAGTAAATTCCAAATTTATTCCTGTGAAACTTTAAGATTTCTGAAAGAATATCATTTTCAAAATCAAATTAACTTTAATTAAAATCGTTTCCCACAATATTTAAAAATAGATATATTTGTAAAAAATTGATATGTTACAAATCTTCAGGTACAAGAATATGAAGTTCTGTACTAATTCACCCATGTAAATATACCCTGTTAACTGTGATGTACGTCTATTGAGACTATTTTTCTTTGACTGTAATATCCCTCCCTTTTATACTATGAAGACTGTTCTCTAATTTATTTAACAATATGTTGCGGCTTTTATTCTATGTTAATATATATAGCTGAGCTTCATTTTAAAAATTGGTTTTGTAACTTCACAGTACTCCTTTGAGTGGATACATCATAAATGATTGACCCAGTCTACTATTGATAGATATTTAGGTTTCTAAAAAATTTTTCTATTATGATTAAGACAATAATAACCTCTCACACATATGTATTTGAATATGGTATCATTATTTAGCATAATCTTAGAATGGGAATTCCTGTGTTAAAGGAAATGTGAGTTTTACATTTAATAGAATTTGTTAAAATTACTAATTTTTATTTGTACTAAAAGTATATTACCATTGAGAATGCTGAATATCTATATGGTAAGAGATAGTGTTTCATTATTGCTTGAATTTGATTTGATTATTACTGAGGTTGACATCTTTTTGTATGATTACTATCCATTTGTATTTATTTTTTTGATTGTTCATTTTCTTTAAACATTATTTTGTTGGCTTATTTTTTTCTCATAGATTTGTTAGAACTCTGTATTTTGAGGCTGGTAACTCTATCTCCATTTAATCCACAAATAGTTACTCAGTGCCTCCAATGTGTTCAATGTACCAGGAATACAACAGTGAACCAAACATCTGAAACTCTCTAGCTGTTGTGTAGTTTACATTCTGGGTAGAGAAAGGCAGGTCAAAAATAACAAAAACTTTAAACATACAGTATGTTAGCTGGTATTTGTGTTATGGAGAAAATAAAGCAGAAAAGAAAAGGGAGAATTTGATAAGATGGTCAGGGAATAACTCATTGAAAATGTGACATTAAAAGCTTGAAAAATGGGTGAAGGAGGTAGTGAAGCATGTATTGGAGGAAGTTTGTGACTTAGACAAGAAGTGCATAGATGGAGATAAATGGAAAGCATGGCCAAATGAAGAAGCCAGTTGTAAGTAGAAGTAGTGGTAATTTCCACAAACATATGAAGAAACATTTGGCTGGATGGTGAGAGTAAGAGTCAAGAATTTGCAGACAGAATGGAGAAATTATAATATTTTTTCCAATTGTGGAAGTTTCTTAGAGAAGGAGAAGCTTCAATTATTCAAGGGGAAAACAAATTTTAGTAATTTTTTTTTTAAGATATACAACTTAGAGGAAGGTCGAATAACAGATTTTGATGTTTGTAATGGTGTGATGGTATGGGAGTAGTGAAGAAAGCCATCTGGGAGATAGAAAGAGTGGAAAAGTCTGTAGGAGGTTGTTGGAATCTTAGCTCTGAACTTGACTTAATTGGGAAGTTGCATTAGGGACTTTGTGGGAGAGGAGTTAAGGTGGTACCACATGGAAGATTGTTAGAGGATGGAAGTATGAAAAGATATTTCCAGGAGGCATTGATAAAACACGTTTCTACATAAAAAATTTTCATACCAGTTTTCTCTACTTAAATGATTTAAAATTGTATCGTATTATGTAATATTTGTGAATATATTTGTCTCTCAGGTGCATTGGATCGTTGTGTGATGGGGATAACAGCAGTTGAAATTCTAAACGCTTGTGATGAAGCTGTTCCTGCTGCTGTTGATTCACTTAGTCATCCAGCAGTCAACCTGAAACAAGCTATGACAAGACGTAGTCTTGCTGCTCTTAAAAATATGGCCCATCATAAGCTACAAACCCTTGCAACCAACCTGTTGGCGTCTGAGGCATCTGACAAGGTAAGCTTTGTATGTGACCTCCTGAAGTGTATAGACCTCATTTACCTGCATTTAGTAACATAGCTTTGGCATACCTTAGAAAATAATTTTTGAGAGATGACTCCTGAAAAATAAGCTTTTGTTTTTCATTTATGTTTATCGAACATAGTTTGGGTTTTTCAAGTATTTGGCATTTTGAAAAAGCAAGTTATTCTTACCATTCAAATATTTTAAAATTCTTCCTACTGAATTAAGTGCTTTAGTTTATGAAATTGGAGTGAACATTGTGTATACAATCTGTCTTACTTTTTGGTAATCTTTCTGTTGAAAGATTGAGCACTAGCTAATGTCCCTAGGAGGGAAAAATATAATTTAGGTACAGTTAGATGTCTGTACTTGTGATGTATCATTTGTTTTGAAATTAGTTTCTGACTTTAGTAAGGTTAAGCTATTTCAAAGATTTAAGAAAGTGTTTGAGAATAAAGTATGATGGAGTTGTAGAAGTATTGAAATTTTTCTGAGACCTAAGCTCAATCACACTTTCCTTTTTGACACTTGGCTGAAAAAATAACTTATACTTTGATTATTAACTGAAGATTATACTATTAAAAAAAAAAAATCCCTGCTGGGTGCTGTGGCTCATGCCTGTAATCCTAGCACTTTGGGTGGCTGAGGCGGGTGGATTACCTGATGTCACGACTTCAACACCAGCCTGACCAACATGGAGAAACCCCATCTCTGCTAAAAATACAAACTTAGCTGGGCATGGTGGTGCATGCCTGTAATCCCAGCTACTCAGAAGGCTGAGGCAGGAGAATCACTTGAACCCGGGAGGTGAAGGCTGCAGTGAGCTAGAGGTTGCAGTGAGATTGCGCCATTGCACTCCAGCCTGGGCAACAAGAGCAAAACTCCATCTCAACAACAACAAAAACAATCCCAATTCGTGAATTGGTTACTTATCTGTAATTTTGCAGAGACTAGCCACTGTTTGGTCTGTGGTATTTGTGTAATGTGGTATAATTGGAACTAGTTTGTCTCTAGTAATGGATAAATAAAACCTAGAGACAGTCTCAATGTTTCATCTTGAATCACTGCTTAAAATTCTAGTTCCATCTAAATAGTCATTAGCGTTATTAATGGATAGCACAAATACTTTTATTTTTAGTCTCTTTTCTTGATTTTCATTTTTTAAAATGGTTAGACATGTGAATAAATAGTGAAGGGGTTGAAAGGCTCATCTGTAGACTTGAACTAACTCATGAATTAGTGAGTGCTGATGACACATGAAATACTGTAGGCAGTTCCACTGACCCACATCCTCCAGTAATTCTCAGTAATGTCACCCTTTGATCATTCTTTCTTCCCTCAAGATATAAATGTTTTATCAGCTGTGTTGTATATTTCAACAGTTGTGAAATCCTTCTACACTTTATGCTTTCAGTAACATACCCTAAGTGTGTGAAGAAATCACAGCTTAAATGCATTGGCCATACCTATAATTACTTTCAAGGAATCACATAGCTGTCTCTGGGAATTCAGTATTCATAGCACATTTTCTGATATGATATGTAATTTAATTTTGAGCAAATTTATAAAACTATGTTTAAGAGCATACATGCATGTTGTATAACTCCCAAATATATTCTTTCTCTTGATGGTATCCCCTAGAAGTAAAAATTTGGAAAAATAATGATATAACTTGAAAATTAAAGAAAAATAAGTGGTACAGTAACAGTTATGAATGGCTTTTATAAGTGGTCGTGGTCCATTATGTGATTTTTACAATCTTGTTTGTCCCTGTTTTAATAGCGTATTTTATAGTGCAATTAGTGATAAAAGCACCAGATATCAGGGACACTACACTTATGTATTGTAAAATATATTGCTTGTGAACCTCCTTAGTCTTGTAGCAGTGGTAATTGTTGCCTGGCCTACAAGGAAAACAATTACAGAAGGGAGGAAAAAGGCTTAGGAAGCTGAGGCTGTGGGAGGATAATCACTTGATGAAAAATGTATGTTGGCTGGACCATTAGGGATTTCTCTAACTATTTTCTCATGTTGAGTTTGAGGCTCCTTCTGAAGGGAATATTTAAAGAGCTGTCCTCTGGATAGCTTTCTAACCTCAGGAGAAATAAACCCACCCAAAGTTAAAAAAAAAACAAACAACTACAAGCTTCTCAATGGTACAGGCTTACTCTAGGATACTGGATCTATTTTTTTTTAATGTGAGTCTTTCAGTGGATAGTGAAGCCTGTATTGGGATACTCTGTAGAAAGCGTGTCTTAGTGGAATAGTGTTAGCAATCATGGCTATTTGGAAGTAACATATTTTATTTTGCTAATTATGTTAATTGTACTGGACATTCAAAACTTCAACAAAATGGGGAATTTACCATCCTGTGTTTTTTTTTTTTCTCACACTAGAAGAGGGTATTAAGTAAAATTATACTTCATTACTGTGAGTGAGTCTTTTGCAAGATTGTGTGTATTTGAACCTCTTTGCATTTCTCTTATGACATGTATTTTTTTCTTTATATTATGATAACTTTTATACTTATCTAATTCTCCCTATAGAAATTCAGTCTTTTTGAGGGCAGGGATTTTTGACTTATTTATCTCTGTGCTTTTCCATGAAATCCAGCAGCAGCTGTGCAATAACTGTGTGTTGAATTGGATGGTGTGGAACAGAAAGTGCAGAGAGCCTTTGCTGTTGCTTTTTTGCCCTTGTCTTCAACATTCCCTCATAACTGATTGTCTTAAGACCCCTGCTTTGTAGTCTCAAGTCTGTGTTCATGAACCTTTAGATGTGGAGCATTCATTAGTAACTCGCATTCTTCCTTTGCAAAAGGAAGTTTTGTTCAGTTTTGCATTCTTCCTTTTGGCTTTGGTGAGTGAGGTTGTCTAGATAGAACTAATTCTCCTTCCTTGTCGTCTCTGTACTGTCAGTGCTCTAACCCATCCTTACCTCACTCAACTTACCTCAACGTTATCCTCTCCTTTACTCCTGTTCCTTTCGGCTGTAGACCATGATAGCTCATTTGTGACACATTGACATTTTGGGATGGGTAATTCTTTGTTGGAGTGCTGCGGTCTATATAGTAGGATGTTGAGCATCATTTCTCTCTTCTGCCTACATCACATCATGTTGGTAATAGCCTCCTCTTTTCAGTTGTGACAGTCGGATATTATCAAATGTCCCTTAAGAGGCAAAAATTGCCTCTGGTTTAAAACCACTGCCTTGGGGAGGGGGGAAAAAGCTTGAAATAGCAGGAATCCTGCATCCTCTATCCTATCCTCCTTTTCCCTTACCCACCCTTATTTCTTTAATCTCACTCTTCCTCAGGACAGTGAAGCCATCACCAACTCTTAGCCCCTCCACATACTTTGGCAGAATTACTTCTTACATTCTTTTTGTGCTCACGTTTTGTTGTTGTTGTTCGTAACTTTCCCAAAACACTTTTCTCTTTGTATAGGATATTTTTTTTTCTTTATATTTGTCTTCCTTACTAGATTTTGAGCTTCTTCAGGACAGGAATTGAGTTTTTCATCTTTTTATTTCCAATACTCAATGTAGTATAACTATATTACATTGTAGTATAACTACACAGAGTTTATGGTACATACTAGTGAAAATGGTAATTGCTGAAGAACTTTAGTAGGAAATTAGTTTGAGGTGTTGATTAGAATTGTGTTATAGAGGAACTTGAATGCAAAGCTGAGGACATAATTTAATGGGTGGTGAAATGATGTCGAATAGTTTTAAAAGGACCCTTTTGATTAAGAAATATTTTGTCATATCTAACATTTGTTTGTAAGACACTTACAAATAGTGATTTGGGAAATGAAGTGTGAGGCTGGAATGATAAAGCAAGAGGTCATGGGGACCAGAAATAGGATTAAGCGGTGGGAATTTGGAAGACAGGATCGTTAGCAAGCTGTTGCGTAAGTTGAATAAATAGGACTTCACTCTGGTGTTGAAGAGTTTGATATTGAAGAGTGTTTCAGAAACTAAAACCCAGCTGAAGGGAGAATGGCAGTGCTGTTAACAGGAATGTGCAGGCCGTGAATAGGCTTTGAGGATGATTGTAATAGGAGACGTGCATCTTAGCAGTAGTGTTAGGAGTTGGGGATGTGTGTGGGGTCAGCAAAATTTCTTTGAGAAATAAGTGGCGTGATGGTGAGATAGGATAGCAATGGTAATATTTTTTTCCTAAATAGATGCTGGATTGTAGAGCCTTAGACTGCAGTTCACATTTTGGGTTACCTGCTATTGTCTGATTTTTTCAGATATGCTTTATTCTTGAATTGTCAGTGCAAATAAGTGAGTTAGTTCTTATTGTCCCCAGTTGGCTACTGATGCACCTAAAGACAGTTGGATGGAACAAGGATTGACAAACTCTTTCTGTAAAGGGCTAGATAGTAAATACTTTAGACTTTGTGCGCTGTCTCTGTCACAGTGACTTAACTTTGCATTATAGTGTGAAAGCAGACATAGACAATATGTGAACAAATGAGCATGGCTGCTTTCCAATAAAACTATTTACAGAAGCAGGTGGTAAGTTAGATTTGGCCCCTGGGCCATCGTTTGCTGACCCCTACATCAGAAGATGGCATTGTTAATATCAAGATTGTAAGGATAGTTCTCTGGAATGGCTTTTGCTTTATTTTTATAAAAGCAGTTCAAAAGAGTGGTTAAGAGCCTGGATTCTGGCGACAGCTATGTCTGTGTTCAAATTATGTTTCTATAACTTGCTGGCCATGGGTGACCTTGGGCAGGCAACCTCCAGTGGCCTCCTGTCATCTTTAAAACAAAATTCAAAGTTCTTACAGTGGCCTGTGAGACTGTGATCAGACATATGCTTCCTTCATTTAATTTTGTTCTTCCATCCTTGATTATTCTAGTTCTAGCCAACTGACTCTTTTTAAAAATATGACTATTTGTGGAATGGATTAATGAATGGGAAAAATGAATGAATTTTATTTAATACATTTTGACTACCGGTAATGCATTACAAAATATTG